TCTCTCTCTCTCTCTCTCTCTCTCTCTCTCTCCTACCTCCGCTCCCTTTTACAGCCACGAATCAGTTACTCTACATACGACACCTCATTTCCATTTATCACCTGCACTGTAACCTCAGTCGTGCACAGCACGGAGCATAATAATTTAACAACTTTCGGAGAAGTAGCATATCGTATTTTTGAGGCGCAGTGTTTGATACACATTTCTCCCCCCCCCCCCTCCCCCTCCTCTTAAAAATCCCCAAAACAAAACCAGCAAAAGGTGAGGAAAAAAACGCCACCCAGATATCCCGCAAATCAAGCGAAGAGCAGGATCCGCCTCGCAGCCAGGTTTACGAGGAACCACAGACGCCAAGCCATCGATGTACGCATGCGTACCGTGCCAGGCATTTAGCGGAACACAGAACATTAATTCTTCTAGTTTAGTTTCATTTAGCTGAACACAGAACATTCATTCTTCTAGTTAAGTTTCATGTAGCTGAACACAGAACATTCATTCTTCTAGTTAAGTTTCATGTAGCTGAACACAGAACATTAATTCTTCTAGTTTAGTTTTAGTAAGAGTATTACGAAACTTGTAACACTATAAGGTCAAATAAGGGCAGAAGATTAGAGGTGTTACAAGAGAGTAACATACACAAACTAGAAGGAGGGGAAATAAAGACGATAAATGTTTGATAGGAAAGAAGGAGCAAGCCACACCAGAGCACCCGCCAACCACCCACCCACCAAGCACCTCTGACATATGCTTGATAAAATACTTGTATTGAATAGTAAACCTAAGTGACACGAACAATTGGTTTCGGAGGCAGGAATAATGTGTTTTCACACCATGTCATCAAGATGAAGCTATATATACGCTGTGACCGACATCATTTTTAAAAAGTGTAGGCAATTTTATTTTCCCACCGACCTGATCTAGAACATTTAGGAGGCGGGTTACCGACCCTGCCTGTCAGGGCCAACCACCCGCGGTCCATCTTCAAAGAGCCGCCCCTCACAAAAGACACACAAGGACAGCTTGTCCCCCCCTAACAAAAGACACACAGGGACAGGTTGTGTAAACATCGGACCTCTCTAGCTTTCCTCGCTACCAGCTGTCGTTTAGGTCAACACCGACTCACGCCTCAACACCCCACCGAGACCTTTGGGGTCATGCTTAAGTGAGCAATTCCCTGCAACCCCTGACTTCTGGGATCTTATTGAAGGTTCCACGGACTGACGCCACTGCAGGAGCGTCCCCGGGAGATAACTGGACCGTCAAACATCGCGACTCTTGTCCCAGCTACCAGCAATTATAGTTAAGGGCGGGTTGGTATTTTTGTTGTGTTTTTGTTTGTTGTTGTTTTGTTTTGTTGGGTTTGTTGGGGGGGGTTGTTTGTACGTTGGTTTTTTTTTCAGAAGACGTATCTTTCAGTGTTTGAGCATCATCTGGCTATCCCT